CCCCACCTCCCTAACACAGAACCCTTATTAGTCTTCAGACGATCGTAATAACAATAGTGCCTCAGATAGAAACTGTCACTGACCTCTCGTGTCCTAGTCTCGCTGAATTCTCCACCAGCTCAAGTCCTTCTTCGTCCTCGATGCCCAATAAAATTAAACACATGTATTGCGTATACTCTGATACGTACAGGACACCATGCGTGTTTAGCTTGTACGCTCGAAAGTCTAGCCGTCGATGTGTGTTACATACAAGAAACTCGCATTCAAGACTCCAGGTCCATTATCCGATAGATGTCTTCATCAAAGTCATCTGCGAAGTTTCACTTACACCCCTCTGGGAACTCTAAAACTGCACACTCCGATCTTGCTGGCGTTGGTGTGGCTCTCAGTGGGAGAGCTGAAGCCGCGCTCCTGGGTTGAATTTCAATCGACAGTAGGCGTACAATCCAAAGGACTGCAGCTAAGATGCGTAAAGCGAACCGGGCTGATTTCGTGATTTTAGCAGATATGAATGCTAGAGTAGACCGACTGAATTCGAGTAAGGCGCATCTGGGACTTCCGTTCGGATTAGAATCCTGTCGCACGAAAAACGGGGAACGGCTCTACGTTCCGAGAATCGCCTATTTCTCGCCAGTACGGACTCCAGACGTTCCGACTGCCGATACGCTACTTGGCGTCCACCCTCCAAAAGCCAGCGACGAACACGAATCGACCACATTGATATAAACCGCAAATGGCTGGGCTGAATACAAGACTGTCGATCGTAGTGAAGCAATCCCTTTGTATTGGACCACAGCAGTTAGCGCCAAATAGTCCATGTGCTTTGGTGGGCGCTCTAAGCGCATTAAACAACGATGATTAGACTGTGTTAAGCTGTCCGAACCAGCTCGTCTAGCTGACTTTCAAAACACGGTAGCTGAAAAACTAACACCAACCCCACCTGATGACAGCATAAAAGTATAGATGCATATATATATATATATATATATAATCTTTACGGATACGGCACCAAAATAACCATGGGTTGAACGCAAAATTGAAAAACGGAAGAGGAAAGAAACGAAAACAGTCAACTTTGAGAACAACAATTTTTTGCTTATTTACTGCACACCATTTTGATTGTTTTTTTGTTGTTTTACTTTTGGGTTGACGCCACTGACTTCGGTTCGGTGCCATATCCAGCAGTGTCTCCACCCGAAGACAACCAGCAGGAAGGCCGGGAAGTCCCGACGGAAGCCAAATCCTGGCACAATCTATTTAACCCTCTACGCCACGTCATAGCCTGTTCACCTCGCTGTTTTTTTTCAGCCCGGACCAATGTCTGTAGATAGTGCACGGCGCAGGCAGTAACCAGCACTCGTCACTTATCAAGAATGCTCTGCATTCTGTTAACGAAGTCAATTGTGGTTTGAGACGTCGTGCCGCAACACCCTGGATTTCTGCGGAGTCTCTACGCCTTCACGACGCACGATCAATCTCGAACGGTAGCGAGTATAATGAAATACGACTCGTAAGGAGACGTAACCTCAATGCAAGCCTACGCTGAGACCGAGAAATCTGGTGGGCTCAACGCGCATTGGATGGAACGTGGTGGGAAATTCCCGTAAACTATTCCACCTATTTCGAGTTACCGGTAGAAAGCTTTAGGTGTAGGCGAAACAATCTGCGCAGCTGACGACTCACATTCATAATCAACAGCGACGTCTTGAACGCTGAGTGGAGCATTTCGAAGCACAGTTTAGTTCGCCAGCTTTAGCTTCTTACATAGCTCAACAGACCCACTTTCTAAGACGGAAATCTGTGAGGAGATCCAAACCCTGGGAAGTCACAAAGCGCGGCGCTCCAATGACATTTCCTCAGCTATATTTAAAGATGATGGGCTGAAGCTTGCTAGAGAATTAGTGACTCTGTTCTCTAAAGTTTGGCACACAGAGCAGATCTCCTCATTGTAGGGGGGGTCGATT